GCGTCGGCGACAGCGCTCGCGGCGCCGAGCGCGCGCAGCGTCGCGGCGTGGCGCGCAACCTCGGCGGGCTGGCGGCCCGAGATGGCCTCGAGGAGCGCGGGCCGCAGCCCGTCCTCAAGCTTCGCCACCAGCGCGTCCGTCCGGCCCGCCGCCGTCGGCAGCAGCCGACTCGCCTGCCCGCCGAGCGCCGATAGCCGCGCGCGCGCCGTCGAGAGCGACGCGGCGGCCGCCGCGGAATCGCCGCGCGAGAAGGAGCGCTCGGCGGCGTCGAGGGCGCGCAGGGTCTGGTCGGCGTGGGCGAGCGTCGAGCCGGCGGCCGCGACCGCCTGCTGGAAGGAGAGCACCTGCCGGATCTCGCGCACGGCCGCGGCCGACGACGCCTCAATGGCGGCCGCCTGCTCGATCAGCGCGGCCAGCTCGCCCCTCGTGCTGCGCGCCTGCTCCTGCGCGGCGCCGACGTCGGCCGCCACGCTCGGCGCCATGTGGGCCAGCGTGAGCGACGCCTCCTGCATCGCCGTGTCGACATCGGCGGCCTGCAGCTGCAGCTTGGTCAGCAGCACCGACAGCCGCACGCCCAGCGGCTCGGCCGGGCCGGCGTCCGGCGGCCGCGACGACGCCTCGCGGAGCGAGGCGTTGAGCCAAGCCTGGGGCGAGAAGCTTGGGCTCCCCCAGCGCGTGTCGTCGGACTCGGGCATGTGCAGTCGGAGCGAGCCAGAAGTAGAGGAGTGAAGAAAAGAAACGGCTCATATGTTCAAGAGTTTCATCGCCTCGATCGTGTCTTTTCATTCGCTTCCTTCTGATTCTGCATTGCGCCGCCCACCAAGCAGTTCCTCCACGAGTTCGCCAAATGTCCAGTCCGAGTTCCCGTAGGCCGGACTGTCCTGGTCGAGAGTGTGTGCCGCCAAGGCGGGGCTACTCGGGGACAGTGGCGACGGGAAGCGGCTCGTGAGACGACTCCCGCGAAAGCACGGGTGGCATCCGTGGCGTGGGGCTCGCCTTCGAAAAGTCGGGCATGGCTCTCCCCGCAACTCTGTCGCTAACACGCGCGCACCACCGAGACTGTGGTGGGCGCGCTGCGGCCGCACGTCTACCTTGCTTCGTCATAGTGCCACGACGTGCGGCCTAGAATTAGCACACGCGCCTCTGCTTGCATACACTCATACATTGGATTGTCATCGCCTGTGAGTGCGAGAAGGGCTAGCCGCAGGCAGCTAGCCCATGAGGAGAGCGTCCATAGACACCTCACTAGACCCCACACACGGTCTCGTCCGTGCCTCGCCGGCCGGAGAGATTGCTGGAGGTAGAGCAAGCCTGCTCTAGCCTCGCATGTCACTTCCTGTCGTCTGTTGTGTCGTTGTGCCCTTGTTTGTACTCTTGGCACCGTGGAGTGCTGGGGGGGGCGACAGGGAGGATATGGCCTTGAGTTATGTGTACGCCGACTCAGGGTGTGTGGCAGCCCGCTGGCTGTGTGTCTTGTGAGCTTGTTTGTGTCTGTGTGTCGCTCGTGCGTGTCGTCATCATCTGTCCAGCGTCCACCCATACCGCGTTGGTGTCCAGTCCGAGCCTGGCTGTTCTTCACCTTTCTACCTACCTACCTACCCTGACTGTCGTTCATCTTTCTACATACATACATACGCCAAAGAAGTCGCGGGCACTCAACACGCGGGACCGGACGGTCTATGGAGCGGCGTCGGCGCCGCCTGCAAGAAGAATCTCTCTCTCTCTCTCTCTCTCTCTCTCTCTCTCTCTCTCTCTCTCTTTGTTGTTGTTTGTTTAAGTTCCCGTGTTATTTCTTCAAAACAAGTAAGCGAGCACGTCCTGGTCGTGTCCCCACGCCGAAGACGCGCCTAGCCGCGGACAACCGTGTCCCACGCCGAACGAGCACGCAGCCACCATGATCCAGTTCGACGAGCACGGCTTTCGCCGCCGGGTGGAGGAGGCGGTGGTCACGCTGCAAAAGCTGCTGCATTCCACGCGTCGGCCGACCTTTGCCGAGGACGTGCCAAACCACTCGTACCAAGACAAGTACCTCCTAGCCGAATTTCTCACAAATTGCGGCCTCGCCGCGCAGTGCACCTGCCTCGAAGCGCTTGGCGTGGGCACCCAACAGCTTGCCACGCTCGTCGAGTGGAGCGCGAGCGAGACTGTCACCCTGCGCCTCGCCGGGCGGCAGCGCTGCACCTTCCTCCGCGAGGAGGAGCGAGAGGTCGAGTCCAAGGCCAAGGTCGTCAAGGAGAGCACTATCTTCGGCAAGTCCGAGCAAAAGGTGGTCACCCGGGTCAACGAGTGGTTCTGGAAGATCGACGTTGAGTGGGAGCTCGTTGCGTACGCCGGCACGATGGGTGGCCCGCGCCAGCTGCGGCTGCAGGGGCGCTCGGGCTCGGCCCAGCTCAAGACAACAACGTCGGCGACGCCAGAGCCCGCCGGCCAGGTCGAGTTCATCCCGACAGAGGTTCCGATAACCTGGCTGCTGCAGCAAGTCAAGCTGCCGGGGGGACTGGTGGGAGCGGCGCACGTTCTCAGCTTCAAGATTGACCGCGACGCCGAGGGCTGCCGCACGCCCCGGCGCAACCCGCAGGTCGAGGCAGCGCTGCACGCCGCTCGCGAGCTGTGCGCGTGGTCGAAGAGGGTCTGCCAATTCATGAACCAGCGCATCTTCTCCAAGGCGGAGCGCTGCGCAAAGGTGCAGGCGCACACCGGCCGCGACGGCTTCCTCGCTTTGATCGCCTCCACTCACCAGCCAAGCGAGCTCTTTGTGCCAGTCCTCCCCCTCTTCGAGGCGCGGGCGGCGGAGGAAGAGGCGGACGCAGCCGGCGGCGACGGCGACGGCGGCGACGGCGACGGTACGCTCGTGAGCGTCACCGCGGCGGCGGCCGAGGCGGCGTCCACCCCGGTCCTCCGCATCGGCGACATAAACGCGATGCTGGCCGAGCAGCGGCGCGCATTGGAGGCCAAGTGGGCCACGCTCGCCGACGCCTGCCCGCCAGCGGACGACGGCTCCCTCCTCTCGCCCGTCGAGCTGAAGCTCTCCATCGCGGTCAAGCACTTGGACGACTGCTGCTCGCAGCTCTCGCAGGGCGTCGACTACATCGAGGCGATGCTCAAGAAGCAGCTGCTCGACGCCGTCGGGCGCTTGGTCACTCCCGCAGATTTCCAGCGGTACATGGACTTCCACGGCCAGCGCCTCTTCAAGCCCGAGTATGCGCCCAAGCCCTTCTGCTTCGCCGTCCGCCGCCCCGACCACTACCCGGAGGGCACGCTCACCATCGAGCACCTCTCGCCGGACCGCTCGCGCGGCGCAATCCACACCAGCGGCGCAATCCACACCATCTGCCGCCGCGTGGCCGAGCCGGTAGCGCCGATGAGCTTCGCGCTCGACGCGGCCACGCGCGTCAGCTTTACCGGCGAGCGCTTTGTGCACGCGTACGTCGCGCACCAGTTTGGCGACCCGCCCTCCCCTCCTCCTTCACCACCGCCACCGAACTGGCGGTCTCCGCCCGCGCCGTGCACCGGTTCCGGTGCGTCAGTACTCATGCTGGGCGCACGCGCGCGGCAGTTCTCCTCGTTCATGCTGCTGCTTGGCCGTATGGGGCCGGCAGGCACCTTCGAGCAGAAGCACGCCCTCATCCTGCAGAACAAGGACGCGGTCGACATCCCGCTGATGCTCGAGGCGCTGCCGTCAGCGACGGAGTTCCGCGACGCGATCTCGAGCCTGTCGCCGGAGCAGCAGCGCTTCGCCAAGGCGTACCGCGCGATGCAGCTCGAGGGGTCCGTCTTCGGCATCCTCGTCATCCAGCTCAAGCCGCAGCTCGAGGCGCTGCTCAAGCTGCCCCACGACGCGCTGACCAAGGAGATCGCGCTCACGCAGCAGCTGCTCGACCTCTTCATCCAGTACCAGATCCCGTCCGACCTGCTCACCTACGCCGGGCCCGCCTCTGCGTCGCCCGAAGAGAAGCTCGAGGCCGTGCGTGGGCACGTCGCCGCCATCTACAAGATGGTCGAGGCGGCCAAGGAGGGCGAGCTGCATGCCGCCAGGCAGCAGGCGATGATGGAGCAGCCATTTCATGAGTACGCGGAGTCGTTTGGTGACACGAGCGCCGGATTCTCCCTCTTCCAATGCGGCGATGCATCAGCGAGGTCGGCATCACCGCCGGATTCACCGCCGCGCCGCAATGCCCGCAGCATCCAGCGCACAGCCAGCAGCGCCTCTGCCGCCCCCCCACCCCGCCATAGCGCTGCCCAGAAGCGCGTCCGGATGCCGGTCGCTGCGTGCGCAGCCGGGGCGGCACCGCCCGGCTGTGGCCCGCCCCCACCGCCCGGCGCGTCGTTTCCGGCGCCAACCGCAAAGGCTACGCCAGCGCCCATCGCCGGGCCGGCGGAGGCGAAGGCGAACGACGACGACTTCGACACGGCGGACGACGTGGCGTCCGAGCTCGACTACACCAAGATCCCCTCGACGCTCGATGCGAAGCTGCTGACGGCGGAGGGCGGCGCCGCGATCCGGCCCACAACGATTAAGGTGGGCGAGACGTGGACGAAGCGGTCGCAGAAGGCGCTGCTCGGCAAGCCGAAGGAGGAGGCGCTGCACACCGAGGAGCAGCAGCGCGAGAAGCAGGCCGCCTTTGACCTGCTCGACGCGCTCTCGTGCTCGGGCGCGCTGCCGATCGCGTGCTGCTCGCTGCACGTCGTGGTCGCCGCCACGCACGCCTTCGACCAGTCGCTGCTCGACACGGTGATCCAGCAGAACGTCAACCCGATCGAGAAGCTCGAGCGGTCGTCGCTCCTCGTCGCAACGACGATCCACGACGCGCCCGCGGGGCGGCTGCTGCGCGACGAGATGCGCGAGCGCGTCGCGCGCTTCGCAGCGCCGGAGCTCCTCGGCGGCGACGCTGCCGCCGCGGGCGAAGGCGCGGTCGCTGATCTGCCGTAGTGAGAGCGCGCCACGGCCCACTTGCACCATAGCGGTGCTTCACATGAGCATGAGGGAGCAGTTGGCACGGTGTGGCGCCTGCTTCTGGGCCGCCGAAACTAGATATGCCTCATCTCTTGCTCTCCTGTCTTGCTCCTGCTTGGGGGCCAGGCCTAGGGTTGGGGAGCGAGAGAGAGAGCAGAGAGATGGAAGAGATAGAGAAGAGGGAGCTGCCATTGGGCATGGTGACTACGTTTGCCTTTCGTACAATGACATGTGTGTTTGAGTATACTCTAGTCTCTACGCGGCGGGACGAATTTTTCTCTCACTCTCTCTTCGACATCGTCCGATGGATGGATGGGCGAACAGCAACAGGTGAGACGTCTGGTCTCTGTCTCACGGGTGTTTCGTCCCTGTCGCCTGTCTCAACGCTGTGCCACAATCCCACAAATGCGTCTCACGTCAGTAATGTCTCACGGACTCTCACCGATCTCTGCGTTGTCTCAGCCTGGTCACAGACAGCAACAGTCTCACTTTGTCTCAAGGATGTCACACACACGGCACAGTCACCTTCAGAGACGTGTTTGAGGCACCCTTGAGACACCAGTGAGACAAATGTTCACCCCTGCGGAGTGGGAGAGATTTTGAGAGTCATGTCCGAGAGCGCAGTTAGGAGCGCCGACGTCAAACGATGTGCATCCGACAGCCGAGGCCCAGCCCCAGAGGAGTTTCGTGTCCGGTTTTCTCGACTGTGGGTCGAAATCCACAGGAGATGCTGTGTACGGCGGCTGTAGCAAAAAAGAAATTTATGGGTTTGGGTAGCAGAAACAGGAAGGCGCCGCGCGCAGCAGCACTCGCTCATCGACGCGACAGGAGACGCCGTGACAACTCTCCACACCGCGCCATGCGCGCAACCGTCGCGCCAACCTGCCCGTGCGTCCCCGCTGAGCCCAGCGCCGGAGCCCGCAGCCGCACCACGTCGACCTTGCCGTCCTGTGCCTCTGGCGCTCCGCTGCTGCAATCTTTTCGGCAGCGCGGGCGGCGGAGGACCCTGCGACGCCGTTGAAGCGGATCCGCGCCAGGAGGCGGCTGGGCCCGCGTTCGCCTTGAGTCCTGTGCCCAGTGTCGTGCAAAGAAAGAAAACGGACACTCCAAGGGAGGGATGGGAGCAGACGGCACGCCGCCACCACACAGCGATTTTAAGGAGAGGGGTGTGATGCGCTAGCCGTCGCCCACCCTTGGGCGTCCGCCTCTTCCTATCTCTCTTCGCAGTCTCTCGCCGATTCTCGCTGCAACCTTCATGCCACCTCGCGGTCGTCCCACTCTCGTCGTTCTCTCTCTTGTCGCTTCTTCCTCTGTCGCGTCGTTCTCTTCTGCCTCGTCCTGCGACGCCGCCGCCGCCTTGCGGCCAGGCATGAGGCGTGAACAGCTAGGATTTCTTTTTCTCCGTACCTGTGGGGGTGTCAGTGCGCAGTCCCGTGCCCAGTGTTGTAGAGAGAGAGAGATTTTTGAAGACCAACTTCTTTCCAACTTCTTTCTTCTTTCTCTCAGACGCCGTAGCGCGCTGCCATGGTGGCCGCTGCCTTGGGCAGTGGCCACGGTGGCCGACCCAGGGCTCCTACGCGGCTACAGCCGCGCGCGACCGCTGCCGCTGGCACCGGCCGCGAGGACTCTGGCTCGGCATGCGCGCCACCGGCCGGTGGGCCGCGCTCCGCAGGACGACGCCTGGATGCAAAAGGCATCCCGTGCACGCTTCAGCAGAGCTCGGCCGGCCGGCCGCCGCGATGGGGCGGCGAGCACCTGGAGGCCCCTCCTGGCGCTGCTGCCTCGGCTCGACCGCCGGGCGCGCCGCGAGGCGAGCAGCAGCGAGGCGAGCAGCAGCGAGGCGAGCAGCAGCGAGGGCCTATGTGCGCTTTGGCAACACGGAGACCGGGCTGCTCAAGTTGGTCAAAGGGCGCGGCAAGTGGTCTCCGTCGGGAGCGACGGCAGCGGCGGTGGCGGGGGAGGAGGAGGAGGCCGAGGAGGAGGGGGAGGAGGGGGAGGAGGAGGATGCCCCCAAGGGAAAGCTCAAGGAGCAGCCTGGCGATTACCCCTTTGCGCGGCAGCAGGATTGCGATCTACGTTTGTTTGATTTTGAGGCTTTCGGAGGCTTTGGAAAGGAGGTTCGCAGCACCCTGAGGGAGGCGGCGAACCAGCTGAGCAACAAACTTTCGCACGCTCAGCACCTGGACGAGGTCACATGGACCACCAAGAACTGGCACGGGCTGCAGATGCAGCGCTTGTCTGTCGTCCTCCACACCGCCGTGGCGTGGCAGACGGTGAACGAGCTAGCGTGCGGGGAGAGCGGCATTGTGCATGGTGCGGAGTGCATTGCCGTTCTTAACGGAGTCGCTTAGGCGGCTCCGGTGGTGAGCCTGTGTGTGTGCCAGTCCGCGCCAGTCTGCGCCCTTGTCGTGCCAGTGTGCTGTGAGAGAGGCTTGTATCTTAAGAATTCTTGTGAGAGAGAGATTTTAGAAAACCAACAAGAAATCACGACTGTCACAGTGATTTGGGCTCGGCAGCTTGTCAGCCCTCAGCCGAAGCTGGGGCCGGTCCCGTAGCCGAGAGAGCCCGCGCCGATGAGTTCGACGCGGTCGGGGGGGCCTGCGGAGAGAGGCCAGCGAGGTGGCGATCGCTGTACTTCTTCTTGTGTTGTACGAGAGCCTTTTACATCTGTCAAAATTCTTTTTCAGTGTGTGCCGCCGGCCTCGCCTCCCCCCCCCCCCC